ATGCGGCCAGAGTCTCAACCCAGCAGAAAAGCTCAACTTGGGCAGCGAGCACCAAAGTTATAAATAGGGATAACGACCCCCCTGAATGACGACCGAAGCTCGAAAACACAACTGCACGCAGGCAGCTCGTGGATTTCGTTGGTGGTCACATCCAACCACGGCCACAGCAGACAACCTTTACACCTCCACTGCTAGCAGGACAAAGGTTAGGGGGGGGTAGACAAATCACCCACCCGCATACCCTACCACGCACCAAGCCAGGCAGACGGTGCCTCAGCAGTCTCCATTGGCTTTTAGTAGCATGAGAGGATATCTCAGTACGTTCTATCCTGGAATTATATTAGATAACACGGACTACTCTGTGCGCATTCGGTGACCAAGCGCAGGCAAGCTGCTGCAAGTATGGACACCAAACCATTTATTGCCCCGTTTGAGGATTGAACTCAAGACCTTTCCCTTACGAAGGGAACGCTCAACCACTAAGCTAACGAGGCTCGCCCACCAGTATTCGTGCCCTTCACACTCAGATTCCAACTCTCTCAAACCCACACAGGCCTCAAATGTAGCAAGTCTCTAAGGCGAACACTTCGATCAATGCGCACACAGAACCTAACCTTGCCACGGCCGAATCCCCAACCATGACGGGCGGGCCCATGCGGCCAGAGTCTCAACCCAGCAGAAAAGCTCAACTTGGGCAGCGAGCACCAAAGTTATAAATAGGGATAACGATCCCCCTGAATGACGACCGAAGCTCGAAAACACAACTGCACGCAGGCAGCTCGTGGATTTCGTTGGTGGTCACATCCAACCACGGCCACAGCAGACAACCTTTACACCTCCACTGCTAGCAGGACAAAGGTTAGGGGGGGGTAGACAAATCACCCACCCGCATACCCTACCACGCACCCAGCCAGGCAGACGGTGCCTCAGCAGCCTCCATTGGCTTTTAGTAGCATGAGAGGATATCTCAGTACGTTCTATCCTGCAATTATATTAGATAACACGGACTACTCTGTGCGCATTCGGTGACCATCCAAGCGCAGGCAAGCTGCTGCAAGTATGGACACCAAACCATTTATTGCCCCGTTTGAGGATTGAACTCAAGACCTTTCCCTTACGAAGGGAACGCTCAACCACTAAGCTAACGAGGCTCGCCCACCAGTATTCGTGCCCTTCACACTCAGTTTCCCACTCTCTCAAACTCACACAGGCCTCAAATGTAGCAAGTCTCTAAGGCGAACACTTCGATCAATGCGCACACAGAACCTAACCTTGCCACGGCCGAATCCCCAACCATGACGGGCGGGCCCATGCGGCCAGAGTCTCAACCCAGCAGAAAAGCTCAACTTGGGCAGCGAGCACCAAAGTTATAAATAGGGATAACGATCCCCCTGAATGACGACCGAAGCTCGAAAACACAACTGCACGCAGGCAGCTCGTGGATTTCGTTGGTGGTCACATCCAACCACGGCCACAGCAGACAACCTTTACACCTCCACTGCTAGCAGGACAAAGGTTAGGGGGGGGTAGACAAATCACCCACCCGCATACCCTACCACGCACCCAGCCAGGCAGACGGTGCCTCAGCAGCCTCCATTGGCTTTTAGTAGCATGAGAGGATATCTCAGTACGTTCTATCCTGCAATTATATTAGATAACACGGACTACTCTGTGAGCATTCGGTGACCAAGCGCAGGCAAGCTGCTGCAAGTATGGACACCAAACCATTTGTTGCCCCGTTTGAGGATTGAACTCAAGACCTTTCCCTTACGAAGGGAACGCTCTACCACTAAGCTAACGAGGCTCGCCCACCAGTAGTCGTGCCCTTCACACTCAGATTGCAACTCTCTCAAACCCACACAGGCCTCAAATGTAGCAAGTCTCTAAGGCGAACACTTCGATCAATGCGCACACAGAACCTAACCTTGCCACGGCCGAATCCCCAACCATGACGGGCGGGCCCATGCGGCCAGAGTCTCAACCCAGCAGAAAAGCTCAACTTGGGCAGCGAGCACCAAAGTTATAAATAGGGATAACGATCCCCCTGAATGACGACCGAAGCTCGAAAACACAACTGCACGCAGGCAGCTCGTGGATTTCGTTGGTGGTCACATCCAACCACGGCCACAGCAGACAACCTTTACACCTCCACTGCTAGCAGGACAAAGGTTAGGGGGGGGTAGACAAATCACCCACCCGCATACCCTACCACGCACCAAGCCAGGCAGACGGTGCCTCAGCAGTCTCCATTGGCTTTTAGTAGCATGAGAGGATATCTCAGTACGTTCTATCCTGGAATTATATTAGATAACACGGACTACTCTGTGCGCATTCGGTGACCATCCAAGCGCAGGCAAGCTGCTGCAAGTATGGACACCAAACCATTTATTGCCCCGTTTGAGGATTGAACTCAAGACCTTTCCCTTACGAAGGGAACGCTCAACCACTAAGCTAACGAGGCTCGCCCACCAGTATTCGTGCCCTTCACACTCAGTTTCCCACTCTCTCAAACCCACACAGGCCTCAAATGTAGCAAGTCTCTAAGGCGAACACTTCGATCAATGCGCACACAGAACCTAACCTTGCCACGGCCGAATCCCCAACCATGACGGGCGGGCCCATGCGGCCAGAGTCTCAACCCAGCAGAAAAGCTCAACTTGGGCAGCGAGCACCAAAGTTATAAATAGGGATAACGATCCCCCTGAATGACGACCGAAGCTCGAAAACACAACTGCACGCAGGCAGCTCGTGGATTTCGTTGGTGGTCACATCCAACCACGGCCACAGCAGACAACCTTTACACCTCCACTGCTAGCAGGACAAAGGTTAGGGGGGGGTAGACAAATCACCCACCCGCATACCCTACCACGCACCCAGCCAGGCAGACGGTGCCTCAGCAGTCTCCATTGGCTTTTAGTAGCATGAGAGGATATCTCAGTACGTTCTATCCTGGAATTATATTAGATAACACGGACTACTCTGTGCGCATTCGGTGACCAAGTGCAGGCAAGCTGCTGCAAGTATGGACACCAAACCATTTGTTGCCCCGTTTGAGGATTGAACTCAAGACCTTTCCCTTACGAAGGGAACGCTCAACCACTAAGCTAACGAGGCTCGCCCACCAGTCTTCGTGCCCTTCACACTCAGATTCCAACTCTCTCAAACCCACACAGGCCTCAAATGTAGCAAGTCTCTAAGGCGAACACTTCGATCAATGCGCACACAGAACCTAACCTTGCCACGGCCGAATCCCCAACCATGACGGGCGGGCCCATGCGGCCAGAGTCTCAACCCAGCAGAAAAGCTCAACTTGGGCAGCGAGCACCAAAGTTATAAATAGGGATAACGATCCCCCTGAATGACGACCGAAGCTCGAAAACACAACTGCACGCAGGCAGCTCGTGGATTTCGTTGGTGGTCACATCCAACCACGGCCACAGCAGACAACCTTTACACCTCCACTGCTAGCAGGACAAAGGTTAGGGGGGGGTAGACAAATCACCCACCCGCATACCCTACCACGCACCCAGCCAGGCAGACGGTGCCTCAGCAGTCTCCATTGGCTTTTAGTAGCATGAGAGGATATCTCAGTACGTTCTATCCTGGAATTATATTAGATAACACGGACTACTCTGTGCGCATTCGGTGACCAAGTGCAGGCAAGCTGCTGCAAGTATGGACACCAAACCATTTGTTGCCCCGTTTGAGGATTGAACTCAAGACCTTTCCCTTACGAAGGGAACGCTCAACCACTAAGCTAACGAGGCTCGCCCACCAGTATTCGTGCCCTTCACACTCAGATTCCAACTCTCTCAAACCCACACAGGCCTCAAATGTAGCAAGTCTCTAAGGCGAACACTTCGATCAATGCGCACACAGAACCTAACCTTGCCACGGCCGAATCCCCAACCATGACGGGCGGGCCCATGCGGCCAGAGTCTCAACCCAGCAGAAAAGCTCAACTTGGGCAGCGAGCACCAAAGTTATAAATAGGGATAACGATCCCCCTGAATGACGACCGAAGCTCGAAAACACAACTGCACGCAGGCAGCTCGTGGATTTCGTTGGTGGTCACATCCAACCACGGCCACAGCAGACAACCTTTACACCTCCACTGCTAGCAGGACAAAGGTTAGGGGGGGTAGACAAATCACCCACCCGCATACCCTACCACGCACCCAGCCAGGCAGACGGTGCCTCAGCAGCCTCCATTGGCTTTTAGTAGCATGAGAGGATATCTCAGTACGTTCTATCCTGGAATTATATTAGATAACACGGACTACTCTGTGCGCATTCGGTGACCAAGCGCAGGCAAGCTGCTGCAAGTATGGACACCAAACCATTTGTTGCCCCGTTTGAGGATTGAACTCAAGACCTTTCCCTTACGAAGGGAACGCTCTGCCACTAAGCTAACGAGGCTCGCCCACCAGTATGCGTGCCCTGCACACTCAGATTCCAACTCTCTCAAACCCACACAGGCCTCAAATGTAGCAAGTCTCTAAGGCGAACACTTCGATCAATGCGCACACAGAACCTAACCTTGCCACGGCCGAATCCCCAACCATGACGGGCGGGCCCATGCGGCCAGAGTCTCAACCCAGCAGAAAAGCTCAACTTGGGCAGCGAGCACCAAAGTTATAAATAGGGATAACGATCCCCCTGAATGACGACCGAAGCTCGAAAACACAACTGCACGCAGGCAGCTCGTGGATTTCGTTGGTGGTCACATCCAACCACGGCCACAGCAGACAACCTTTACACCTCCACTGCTAGCAGGACAAAGGTTAGGGGGGGGTAGACAAATCACCCACCCGCATACCCTACCACGCACCAAGCCAGGCAGACGGTGCCTCAGCAGTCTCCATTGGCTTTTAGTAGCATGAGAGGATATCTCAGTACGTTCTATCCTGCAATTATATTAGATAACACGGACTACTCTGTGAGCATTCGGTGACCAAGCGCAGGCAAGCTGCTGCAAGTATGGACACCAAACCATTTGTTGCCCCGTTTGAGGATTGACCTTTCCCTTACGAAGGGAACGCTCTACCACTAAGCTAACGAGGCTCGCCCACCAGTCTTCGTGCCCTTCACACTCAGATTCCAACTCTCTCAAACCCACACAGGCCTCAAATGTAGCAAGTCTCTAAGGCGAACACTTCGATCAATGCGCACACAGAACCTAACCTTGCCACGGCCGAATCCCCAACCATGACGGGCGGGCCCATGCGGCCAGAGTCTCAACCCAGCAGAAAAGCTCAACTTGGGCAGCGAGCACCAAAGTTATAAATAGGGATAACGATCCCCCTGAATGACGACCGAAGCTCGAAAACACAACTGCACGCAGGCAGCTCGTGGATTTCGTTGGTGGTCACATCCAACCACGGCCACAGCAGACAACCTTTACACCTCCACTGCTAGCAGGACAAAGGTTAGGGGGGGGGTAGACACCCACCCACCCGCATACCCTACCACGCACCAAGCCAGGCAGACGGTGCCTCAGCAGTCTCCATTGGCTTTTAGTAGCATGAGAGGATATCTCAGTACGTTCTATCCTGGAATTATATTAGATAACACGGACTACTCTGTGCGCATTCGGTGACCAAGCGCAGGCAAGCTGCTGCAAGTATGGACACCAAACCATTTGTTGCCCCGTTTGAGGATTGAACTCAAGACCTTTCCCTTACGAAGGGAACGCTCTGCCACTAAGCTAACGAGGCTCGCCCACCAGTATGCGTGCCCTGCACACTCAGATTCCAACTCTCTCAAACCCACACAGGCCTCAAATGTAGCAAGTCTCTAAGGCGAACACTTCGATCAATGCGCACACAGAACCTAACCTTGCCACGGCCGAATCCCCAACCATGACGGGCGGGCCCATGCGGCCAGAGTCTCAACCCAGCAGAAAAGCTCAACTTGGGCAGCGAGCACCAAAGTTATAAATAGGGATAACGATCCCCCTGAATGACGACCGAAGCTCGAAAACACAACTGCACGCAGGCAGCTCGTGGATTTCGTTGGTGGTCACATCCAACCACGGCCACAGCAGACAACCTTTACACCTCCACTGCTAGCAGGACAAAGGTTAGGGGGGGGTAGACAAATCACCCACCCGCATACCCTACCACGCACCAAGCCAGGCAGACGGTGCCTCAGCAGTCTCCATTGGCTTTTAGTAGCATGAGAGGATATCTCAGTACGTTCTATCCTGCAATTATATTAGATAACACGGACTACTCTGTGAGCATTCGGTGACCAAGCGCAGGCAAGCTGCTGCAAGTATGGACACCAAACCATTTGTTGCCCCGTTTGAGGATTGACCTTTCCCTTACGAAGGGAACGCTCTACCACTAAGCTAACGAGGCTCGCCCACCAGTCTTCGTGCCCTTCACACTCAGATTCCAACTCTCTCAAACCCACACAGGCCTCAAATGTAGCAAGTCTCTAAGGCGAACACTTCGATCAATGCGCACACAGAACCTAACCTTGCCACGGCCGAATCCCCAACCATGACGGGCGGGCCCATGCGGCCAGAGTCTCAACCCAGCAGAAAAGCTCAACTTGGGCAGCGAGCACCAAAGTTATAAATAGGGATAACGATCCCCCTGAATGACGACCGAAGCTCGAAAACACAACTGCACGCAGGCAGCTCGTGGATTTCGTTGGTGGTCACATCCAACCACGGCCACAGCAGACAACCTTTACACCTCCACTGCTAGCAGGACAAAGGTTAGGGGGGGGTAGACAAATCACCCACCCGCATACCCTACCACGCACCCAGCCAGGCAGACGGTGCCTCAGCAGTCTCCATTGGCTTTTAGTAGCATGAGAGGATATCTCAGTACGTTCTATCCTGGAATTATATTAGATAACACGGACTACTCTGTGCGCATTCGGTGACCAAGCGCAGGCAAGCTGCTGCAAGTATGGACACCAAACCATTTATTGCCCCGTTTGAGGATTGAACACAAGACCTTTCCCTTACGAAGGGAACGCTCTACCACTAAGCTAACGAGGCTCGCCCACCAGTATTCGTGCCCTTCACACTCAGATTCCAACTCTCTCAAACCCACACAGGCCTCAAATGTAGCAAGTCTCTAAGGCGAACACTTCGATCAATGCGCACACAGAACCTAACCTTGCCACGGCCGAATCCCCAACCATGACGGGCGGGCCCATGCGGCCAGAGTCTCAACCCAGCAGAAAAGCTCAACTTGGGCAGCGAGCACCAAAGTTATAAATAGGGATAACGATCCCCCTGAATGACGACCGAAGCTCGAAAACACAACTGCACGCAGGCAGCTCGTGGATTTCGTTGGTGGTCACATCCAACCACGGCCACAGCAGACAACCTTTACACCTCCACTGCTAGCAGGACAAAGGTTAGGGGGGGTAGACAAATCACCCACCCGCATACCCTACCACGCACCAAGCCAGGCAGACGGTGCCTCAGCAGTCTCCATTGGCTTTTAGTAGCATGAGAGGATATCTCAGTACGTTCTATCCTGCAATTATATTAGATAACACGGACTACTCTGTGAGCATTCGGTGACCAAGCGCAGGCAAGCTGCTGCAAGTATGGACACCAAACCATTTGTTGCCCCGTTTGAGGATTGAACTCAAGACCTTTCCCTTACGAAGGGAACGCTCTACCACTAAGCTAACGAGGCTCGCCCACCAGTCTTCGTGCCCTTCACACTCAGATTCCAACTCTCTCAAACCCACACAGGCCTCAAATGTAGCAAGTCTCTAAGGCGAACACTTCGATCAATGCGCACACAGAACCTAACCTTGCCACGGCCGAATCCCCAACCATGACGGGCGGGCCCATGCGGCCAGAGTCTCAACCCAGCAGAAAAGCTCAACTTGGGCAGCGAGCACCAAAGTTATAAATAGGGATAACGATCCCCCTGAATGACGACCGAAGCTCGAAAACACAACTGCACGCAGGCAGCTCGTGGATTTCGTTGGTGGTCACATCCAACCACGGCCACAGCAGACAACCTTTACACCTCCACTGCTAGCAGGACAAAGGTTAGGGGGGGGGTAGACACCCACCCACCCGCATACCCTACCACGCACCAAGCCAGGCAGACGGTGCCTCAGCAGTCTCCATTGGCTTTTAGTAGCATGAGAGGATATCTCAGTACGTTCTATCCTGGAATTATATTAGATAACACGGACTACTCTGTGCGCATTCGGTGACCAAGCGCAGGCAAGCTGCTGCAAGTATGGACACCAAACCATTTATTGCCCCGTTTGAGGATTGAACTCAAGACCTTTCCCTTACGGGGAACGCTCTACCACTAAGCTAACGAGGCTCGCCCACCAGTATTCGTGCCCTTCACACTCAGATTCCAACTCTCTCAAACCCACACAGGCCTCAAATGTAGCAAGTCTCTAAGGCGAACACTTCGATCAATGCGCACACAGAACCTAACCTTGCCACGGCCGAATCCCCAACCATGACGGGCGGGCCCATGCGGCCAGAGTCTCAACCCAGCAGAAAAGCTCAACTTGGGCAGCGAGCACCAAAGTTATAAATAGGGATAACGATCCCCCTGAATGACGACCGAAGCTCGAAAACACAACTGCACGCAGGCAGCTCGTGGATTTCGTTGGTGGTCACATCCAACCACGGCCACAGCAGACAACCTTTACACCTCCACTGCTAGCAGGACAAAGGTTAGGGGGGGTAGACAAATCACCCACCCGCATACCCTACCACGCTCCAAGCCAGGCAGACGGCGCCTCAGCAGTCTCCATTGGCTTTTAGTAGCATGAGAGGATATCTCAGTACGTTCTATCCTGGAATTATATTAGATAACACGGACTACTCTGTGAGCATTCGGTGACCAAGCGCAGGCAAGCTGCTGCAAGTATGGACACCAAACCATTTGTTGCCCCGTTTCAGGATTGAACTCAAGACCTTTCCCTTACGAAGGGAACGCTCTACCACTAAGCTAACGAGGCTCGCCCACCAGTATGCGTGCCCTTCACACTCAGATTCCAACTCTCTCAAACCCACACAGGCCTCAAATGTAGCAAGTCTCTAAGGCGAACACTTCGATCAATGCGCACACAGAACCTAACCTTGCCACGGCCGAATCCCCAACCATGACGGGCGGGCCCATGCGGCCAGAGTCTCAACCCAGCAGAAAAGCTCAACTTGGGCAGCGAGCACCAAAGTTATAAATAGGGATAACGATCCCCCTGAATGACGACCGAAGCTCGAAAACACAACTGCACGCAGGCAGCTCGTGGATTTCGTTGGTGGTCACATCCAACCACGGCCACAGCAGACAACCTTTACACCTCCACTGCTAGCAGGACAAAGGTTAGGGGGGGTAGACGAATCACCCACCCGCATACCCTACCACGCACCCAGCCAGGCAGACGGTGCCTCAGCAGCCTCCATTGGCTTTTAGTAGCATGAGAGGATATCTCAGTACGTTCTATCCTGCTATTATATTAGATAACACGGACTACTCTGTGAGCATTCGGTGACCAAGCGCAGGCAAGCTGCTGCAAGTATGGACACCAAACCATTTGTTGCCCCGTTTGAGGATTGAACTCAAGACCTTTCCCTTACGAAGGGAACGCTCTACCACTAAGCTAACGAGGCTCGCCCACCAGTCTTCGTGCCCTTCACACTCAGTTTCCCACTCTCTCAAACCCACACAGGCCTCAAATGTAGCAAGTCTCTAAGGCGAACACTTCGATCAATGCGCACACAGAACCTAACCTTGCCACGGCCGAATCCCCAACCATGACGGGCGGGCCCATGCGGCCAGAGTCTCAACCCAGCAGAAAAGCTCAACTTGGGCAGCGAGCACCAAAGTTATAAATAGGGATAACGATCCCCCTGAATGACGACCGAAGCTCGAAAACACAACTGCACGCAGGCAGCTCGTGGATTTCGTTGGTGGTCACATCCAACCACGGCCACAGCAGACAACCTTTACACCTCCACTGCTAGCAGGACAAAGGTTAGGGGGGGGTAGACAAATCACCCACCCGCATACCCTACCACGCACCAAGCCAGGCAGACGGTGCCTCAGCAGTCT